GTATGTTAGCGAGTATGTTTACTTTTTTTTGAAAGAATGCTGGCACTAGTTTTGGAGGCATAAGCTACAGATCTCGATGCGTGAGCGCGAAAGTACAACGCAGGAGTAAAGATAAGACAAGAATGGTTTTCTCGCTTCTGATTTTCATCCCCGCCGTCTTTAACAGTAGACCTTTTGTGCAAGACCATGGGTCTTTTGTTGCTTGTCTGTTGTTGTTGTGTTCCGTTGTTTTGAGACACAGAGTCCTCCACTCTGCCCTCGCCCAGGGGCTGTGGGAGTGCCAGCGTTGGGATCGGTTGCGTCGGACGTGGCACACCTCTGCTCCCAGGTAAAAAACAAAACCAAAACCACAGGATTTATAGGAAACTTGAACCAATGCTGTTGATGAACTTTGTTTAGTGGACATATGCAGGGCACTCTATCCAAGAACTCTAGAATATGCACCCTCTTCATGTTCTCTGGTCTGGCCCCAGCTTGCTGATCATTCCTGTGTGCGGTTTAGTCCTTGGTGTTTATTTCTGTCCCGAATCACTGGTCACTCTCTGGTCTTTTGTGTCCGTGTACCTCCCTGGCATCTCCACCTGGATCCCCAAGTATCTTAAACTTGGTAGTTCCAAAGAACAGCTCACGGCCTTCCCACCAAAACACTGTCTCCTACAGCCTTTTCCACAAACCTTTCCCCATCTTAGGAACTGGCAGCTTCACGCTTCCAGCTGTGGAGGCTCAAATTGTCAGAGTGGCCCTTGGTTCCTTTCTCTCCTACCCCAGATCTCTCATGCGTGTTGGTGTAGTTTTTCTGTAAAACCTTCAAAATACATCTCGAATTGGTCTTCCCACAAACTTCCCTGCTCCCCCTTGGCCCGAGTCACTAGCCCTTCTTGAATTCTGACTACCATGGTCCCCTAACCTGTCTCCTGGTTCTCCTGGTTCTGCCTCTCCCCACCCTGCCTTGTGCCATCCGTTGTCAGCATGACGGTCGGAGGGATGCTTCTGAAGCCTGTGTCTTTCACTGCTCAGAGCCCTGAGGATCTATACCCCACACGTGCCTGCCAACGCTTCCCTTTGCTCGCCTCGCTCTCCGGTAGCTGTGCTGGTCTCCTTGCTATTTCTGGAACGTGCCAGGCAGCCTCTAACCACAGGGTCTCTGTGCTTCCTGTAGCTTTTACCTGGAATGTTTCTCTGCCATGTGTGTAAATGCCTTTTCTGGCCAGGGGCGGTGGCTCACACCTGTAATCCCAGCACTTTGGGAAGCTGAGGCAAGTGGATCACCTGAGATCAGGAGTTCAAGACCAGCCTGGCCAACATGGTGAAACCCCACTACTAAAAATACAAAAATTAGTCTGGCATGGTGGCGTGCAGCTGTAATCCCAGCTACTCAGGAGGCTGAGACAAGAACATTGCTTGAACCCGGGAGGCGGAGGTTGCAGTGAGCCGAGATCATGCTACTACCCTCCAGCCTGGGCAACAGAGCGAAATTCCGTCTCAGTGAAGAAAATAATAATAATAATAATAAACGCCTTTTCTCTCTGAATGTTTGCTCATCTGTCACCTTAGGTGACTGACCATTTTACTAAAGTGGTATCCCCCTCTTCACAGACAAACCCCCTTGCTGTTTCTCGTCCCAGTCTTTGCCTTGTTTTCTCCATAGCACATCACCATCTAATGCACTGTGCGTTTGATTTGTTTACTTACTGAACCACTGATGGTAGTCCTACAGATGTTGCGTGGGCAAGGCAGAAAAGTGAAGGTGATACCCCAAGAACTGGAGTTTTGGGAACCCTCAGTCTTTGCAGTTGGCTGTGTGTGCTTGAACTAATACCACAGCCCCAAGGTGTGCACGCCCCGAACCTCAGTATGGGAGGGTCTCTGGGAGCTGACAGTGGTCCTGGGTTTCCGGGATGAATAAGGGGTAGCTACCTCAAGAAGGGGGAGCAGGGAGGCATGTTTGAATGACAGTGAGGAGAGAGAGACATGGGTGGTGATTTGAGGGGTGTGAGCCGTGTCCTTCCACATCTGTGACTTCCGATCAGCATCACTTCCCTGTTCGTTTCCCGGGGAGACCCGGACCAGGTAGTGGTCCTGGGCCCAGTGCCTGATCTCCGGCTTGACTGGGCCCGGCCTGGGCTCAGCCTTGTTTCCTCATCTGTGGAGTGGGAGGAGGCCTCCCTCCCACGCCGTTATGAGGAGCAGACTCTGTGCCTGGCACGGCACCAGCACATGTTGAATTTGTCTCTTATGCTTTTTGGCTATTGTCTGTGCAAGAGAGGAGAGTGGACAACCGCCTCTGAGGCTGCCCGAAGCTCGGTCTGCTATTCACTTGCTGTTTATCAGCCTGCTGGTACTTAAAGAGAAAATGGTGTTTGTTTTAATGAGCTGACAATTTTGAAATTAAGGCGTTAAGTAAAAGTACGTCAACACAAGCTTTGGTTTTCTCTGAACCCTGACTAGATAAACCCTGACTGTTGCAGATAACCTTGCAGTGATGTTCATGGATCACACTTTACAATTTCTCTCTTGGTTATTTTTTCTCTTTTAGTCTGAACCAGAGGGCTTTTCTCATTTCCACTTGTACGTGTGCGCTGCTTTTCTCGTGAGATGGAGGAAGGAAATACTAGAAGAGAAAGATTTTCAAGTAAGTAAATGCCCTTTCAAAAGAACCCGAGTTTGATTTTCTACTAGGAGAGAGGTTTATTAAATTTTAGTTCACAGGGTTATTTGTGGAAGAGTTTTGAGAAGTGCTGCCTGCGTTTCGCCGCTGACCTCCCACTGGTTGAAAGCTCGTCTAGCTGAGAAGGCGAGCCTGGCAGTGGTCATGTGGTCATGGCAGTGGAAATGCTGCCCAAGTTATGAGTTGTTTGATGTGACTGTGTGACAAGCTCCCTGCAGAACCTCCCCTGGGCCAGCGTGCCCCTCAGCAGCGCGACCCCTGCAGGGTGCGGCACGTGACCTCTGGTCCCTGGAACCCTCTTCACAGCACCTGGACTGTGATGCTTTAGGGACAGGGCTGGGCAAGAAATCACACAGCCTGGGGTCCCTTCCAGCCAGGCCACTAGGAGTTGTGTGACTGGGGACGCACTGTTTAACCTCACTAAGCTAGTCCCTGGCAACTTAGTGGGAGAGCCTTCCTTGCACCCCACTCATCAGAGGCACACCCTGCTGGGCCCCGTGCTCTACCTGTGGGACTCCCTGTGGACTAGTGTCCAGCCCCTGACCCACCCCACATGTTCCTCTGTGAGGCGTCCCGAGCACCCTGTGGACTGTTGGCCCCTTCACGGGGTGATACCCACTGTTCTCCGAGGTGCTGGCTGGGAAGTCCTTCTGCCCAGTATTCACCCAGCAGAGGGCTCTGGGTGCAGCAAGGAAGACCCCAGCAGTGGGAACCAGACAGACTCTGCACCAGCCGGCTGGGGTCAGCCACGCTTCACTACTCTGCCTTCTCCAGGCCCTCGTCTCTCAACTACAGGGACGGTCCTGGGTCCCCAGGGCAGTGCTCTCCACAGCTGGCAGCCTTTTGTTCCCCAGCTCCGTGCTCGTCAGTGGCTCCAAGCATCCCTGCTCCTTCTGAGAGCCTTGGGAGGTCCTGCTGCGCCACTTCATCTCGGTTCCAGGAGAGACCAGACAGGTGAGGGTCGTGCTGAGGCCTGGAGCTGCCAACAGGGCCTGGCCGAGCAGATGGAACCCAGCCCAGGTGTTCGTGGATGGAGAACATCCATCCACGTCATCCTAAACGAGAACTGAGCCACATCCTGTGCCCGTTCTGAGCGGCTGGGGGTGTACTTTAAGCGCCTGATGTCGGCATTACTGGGATCTTTTGCTGATTAATAAGCACGGCATTGTAAAATTAGAAAATAAGCTATCCGAGAAAATCTTCATTTATCCATTTTACCCCCCGAGTCTAAACCTCTCAGTTTGGCTTCCCAGGGGACTGGGGGTCCAACTGCCAACCCCCCTGCAGGCCGCCCTATGCCCGCCGGCCCTCATCCTCGCCAGCTTCCCCTCCTTGGAGCCCCACTGCCCTCACCCTGGGCTTGGCTGAGAGGAGGCCGCCCACACGGGATCGACTGTGCTCTGCCAGCGTCCAGGAGGTGCCCACCAGAAGTGGGAATGCCTCGTGAGGTTGGAAACCCCACCACCCGCCAGGAGCTGGGACCATTGTGGTTTTTAATTTTAAAGTAAGGAAGCCGCTTAGACACAGTGGGGACGGCAGTTGGCAGAGTCGTTTTTCTAAGTAGAAAAAGCAGTTAATTTTATGTGAGCAGAGTGTGGCACCTCCATGAAGTCAGGAACCTTCTCTGAGGGGGCCTCGGCGGCTGAGAGGTCTGTGAATGTCTCTAATCAGTGGGTGCGCCACTGCCTGATGTTGATGCGTGGGCAGCCTCGTTGGGAGAAGCAGCTTCCTCCAGCGTGGTGGCTGCCTGTCCCAGGAGGCTGGTGAAGGCGGCGAGGAGGCGGCAGAGCAGCATCGTGGAAGGCTGAGGCCCTTGCTCTGGAAGCGTGCTCCGGGCAGTCTGCAGCCACCTGGCCCCGGACCCTGCGTCTCTGTGGGAGCTCCAGCTGCTGGGTGGGCTGCATGGGAAGGACCAGCGGGTGCCAGCCCAAGCTGCCCAGCCTGGGAGCCTTCACCTTTGTCCCCTTTGGCTCTGGGACTGAGTTCTGTGCATCTGCCAGCTGCTCAGTGGGGAAGCCGAACACACACAGGTGTGCGCAGTGCCCAGGGTCAGGGGCTCAGTCTGGCTTTGTGACCCTGGGCTTCACAGCCTCAGCCGGTCTGTTCATTCCTTCACTGAATGCCCCTGGAACCCTCGCCCTGAGCCAGGCCCCGTGCTGCAGATTCTGCCCGCGAGGGGCAGGGCAAGTTGGGAGGGGCAGGTGCATGAAGGGACTGCTCTGCGGGGGTCGGCAGGTGAGCAGGGACCAGGGAATAGAAGTGATAGATGGGGGAGAGGGGAGCCGGTGGGGGAGAGCGGCAAAGAGAGGATGGGGTGGCCTTCCCGTAACAGTGGATTTGTAACAGCCTGCTCTGCATCGTGGAGTGATTTGGTGAACTTAGCACCGAGGGTGGGTTGGCCGCTAGAACATAAGCAGCCATGAGCAACACAAATGAAAAGACGAACACGGATGGGGCAGGATGGCGCACGGAGGAAGCAGGAACAATCGTGTCCTCGGACTTCAAGAAGAAAACACTGGGCAGAGCAGGGAGTCACGCCACACCATGGCACTGAGCAGGGGGAGTCACCCCACACCGTGGCACTGAGCAGGGGGAGTCACCCCACACTGTGGGATCGAGCAGGAAGAGTCCCCCCACACCGTGGCATCGCAGGGGGAGTCACCCCACACCGTGGCATCGCAGGGGGAGTCACCCCACACCGTGGCATCGCAGGGGGAGTCACCCCACACCGTGGCATCGCAGGGGGAGTCACCCCACACGGTGGCATCGCAGGGGGAGTCACCCCACACCGTGGCATCGCAGGGGGAGTCCCCCCACACCGTGGCATCGCAGGGGGAGTCACCCCACACCGTGGCATCGCAGGGGGAGTCACCCCACACCGTGGCATCGCAGGGGGAGTCACCCCACACCGTGGCATCGCAGGGGGAGTCACCCCACACGGTGGCATCGCAGGGGGAGTCACCCCACACCGTGGCATCGCAGGGGGAGTCACCCCACACCGTGGCATCGAGCAGAGAGAGTCACTCCATACTGTGGTATTCTCCCAGCACGGGTCTGGCAGCGGCCGCAGGAGCCAGGAAGGCAGGACGCTCCTGGGAGCACAGGAGCCCAGCACCAGCTCTGTCGGAAGCCTCCTTGTAGAGGCCGTGATCTGTGCACTTTCCGGTCTTCATATTAAACTTGAATTTAAAACTGTATAAAACATACAAAGACATTCAGTGAAGCAACCATAGGAGTAAAGTTGAAGCGTATTTAGTTGGATTAAAAATAAGGTGGGGGCTGGGCGCAGTGGCTCTTGCCTGTAATCCCAGCACTTTGGTAAGCCGACCAAACCTTTGTCTCTACTAAAAATACAATTAGCCGGGCATGCTGGTGGGCGCCTATAATCCCAGCTACTGGGGAAGCTGAGGCAAGAGGATCGCTTGAACCTGGGAGGCGGAGGTTGCAGTGAACCAAGATGGCACCACTACACTCCAGCTGGGGCGGCAGAGCGAGACTCCGTCTCATAAATAAATAAATAAGGAGGATTGTGAATCTGAATGGCATAAAAAAGGAGTGGTTTAGGAGTTCTGGGTGGAATTTGTACCAACAAAGAATGCATCTTCTTTCTAAGTATTTATGGAATACTTAAAAAAAGTAATCACTCAACCTAGGCCATAAACATTTCCAAAATAAGAAAACAGCAATGACATAAACTTTGTTCACTGAGCATAATCCTTTAAAATTAGATCATAATAAAGTTAAAACGACAAAACCAAGCATTTGGATGTTAAAGAACTCCCTTCAAAATAATGTGGGTCAAGATGGAAATGACCCTGTAATTACTGAAGGATATTGAAAAGCACAAGGAATGTACCAGTGCTGGGCTTGCAAACAGGTTCAAAGATGCAATGCTTTCATTATTTAAAAACATTAAAACAAGTAAACTAAGCCTTTAACCAAGAAGTTAAAAATAGAAAACTAAAGACAACTTATGATAAAGACAATAAAAGAATGAATGAGTAAAAGCAAACAAATACATTAGAAGACAGGATTTTTATGTAGAATTCCTAAGTATATCTTAGAGGGGCAGTTGAAAATGCTAGTGAAATAGGCAGACCTCCAGTAAGGAGGACCAAGATAGATGGGTGAAAACGTAGTCCTCCTCTGTGTTAGAAAAGAGGCATTTATACACACATACTTTAAAAATGCTAAATTTGCCTCAAGCTTTAAGAAAAGCCCAACCTGGCCTGCAGTGGCTCATGCCTGTAATCCCAGCACTTTGGGAGGCCCAGGCGGGTGGGTCACGAGGTCAGGAGATGGAGACCATCCTGGCCAACATGGTGAAACCCAGTTTCTACTAAAAATACAAAAATTAGGCTGGGCGCGGTGGCTCAAGCCTGTAATCCCAGCACTTTGGGAGGCCCAGGCGGGTGGGTCACGAGGTCAGGAGATGGAGACCATCCTGGCCAACATGGTGAAACCCAGTTTCTACTAAAAATACAAAAATTAGCTGGGCTTGCCTGTAGTCCCAGCTACTCGGGAGGCTGAGGCAGGAGAATGGAGTAAACCCGGGGGGCGGAGCTTGCAGTGAGCTGAGATCCGGCCACTGCACTCCAGCCCGGGCGACAGAGCCAGACTCTGTCTCAAAAAAAAAAAAAAAAAAATACAAAAATTAGCTGGGCGTGGTGGCACATGCCTGTAATCCCAGCTACTCAGGAGGCTGAGGCAGGGTAATTGCTTGAACCAGGGAGGCAGAGGTTGCAGTGAACTGAGATCGCCCCACTGCACTCCAGCCTGGTGACAGAGCAGGACTCCATCTCAAAAAAAAAAAAAAAAAACCCAAACTTGTATAGACTTATAATTTGGGAGTAAATCCAAACATCGCCAAAAGTCGTGGTTTTAAATATGATTCTTAAGACCAGAAAATGTCTTCCTAGTGAGTTTGTTCACAGTTTCTAAAAACCTTACCCTGTGTGACCTGT